GAAAATAGTCATTACTTACACCGCCATAATGTAGATGCAACATGGCATGTAAATCAGTAACTCCTGTATTGCAAAACAGACAAATAGATTAATGCACGTTGCAAAGGATGGGTGAAGAGATCGATTAGGTTACTGATTCAGACCATGAACTTTCTCTCAATATACTGCATTTAACTTTTAAATAAGGTTTAGGAGAACCTGTAACATTTTGCTCACTGACAGAGCTATATTTTACTAAGGGGAGAAATTGGCTAGTCTATAAAAATTAAATTATGCCCCTTTCATTGTATCTAGTCAAGAGGAAAAACTCTAATTATAAGACTGTAGTGTTAAATAAATGCAAATTAACATTCTTTAAAAAAAAAAAAACTCACTGCCATCGAGTCCAATCCAACTCATAGCCACCCCTCCTTGGGTTTCCAAGGCGATTTCACTACAGAAGTAGATTGCCCAATCTTCCTTCCAAGGAGTGGCTGGTGGGTTTGAACCACCAGCCTTTTGGTTAGCAGTCAAATGCCTTAGGCACTATGCCACCAGAACTCCTTCACATTCTTTAAAGCCTGGTTTAAAAAAAAAAAAAAATCATACTTGGGGTTGGGAGGGTTCTAGTCTGAAATAAAAATCAATATTTGATATATTTGGTGGCTTGCAGTGCTAAGCAAAAGAAAATGTCAGTACCAAGGGTGCTGGTGAGGATCTTCTAAGTCATTAAGTGCAGAGCATGTGAGAACAAGTCACTCATTATGCAAACATTTAAATATCAATTAGTAAGAGCAATGAAAGAATCCTTCCCTTCTCTATAACCTGTGCCTTATTACCCCAGAAATGACCAAGGGAAAAAAGGACATCAAAAATTATTGTAGCACTTAAGAGGAACACCACACTGGGATAACAGATTAAGGTTAATTTTAAGTGCACTTCCCATTTGAAAATTAAATGTACTCCTCAAAATTCATAAGAGCTCAGTTTGCAGACTTAATCCAGGAAGGACTAACTGAAGGCCTGGGCATACTTTATTGCTGGTTTTTTTTGGAAAGAGAATGCCTTTCATTATTGTTTAATGTCAGACTTGTGTGGTTCATTAAAATCTTGTAGTTTGCTTAAAACCCTGGTTTTTCTGAACCCATTTAAAAAATGCCAGTTCACAAAGCACTCAATCTTTAAAAATCTGACTGGTTTTCATAGTCTTTTGACATTTACTTTGTTGCCTGCCTGTCCACTTAACCCATCTATTCAGGCTGTCAGATGAATTTGGTGGACATTGAAATTATCTCAGCCCTCAGAACTTTGCCTGAATGATCTTTTCAGGCAAACCTGGCAGTATATTTTTTAATGTAAGGTTCTGGCCAGCTGGTGTTATAACAAAGTTGCTACCCTGGAAACAGGCTTCTAGTGCCTCTTAGTAATAGTTGGCTGGTGGATTTGTACCGGGCATTTGACTTTTTTGAGCTGTATTTTCTTCCTTTGTAACACAAAAAAGGAACCCTGGTGGTGCGGTGGTTAAGCATTAGGCTGCTAACCAATTAGAATTCATGAGCCATTCCACAGAAGAAAGATGTGTCAGTCTACTTCCATGATGATTACAGCCTTGGAAACCCTGTGGGGTAGTTCTGCTCTATCCTATAGGGTCACTATGAGTCAGAATTGAGTCAACGGCCATGAGTTTTTCACACATAAAGACTAGACCAGATCAGTTCTGAGAGGCAGAACAAATGCAAATGTGGGGCACCCCAGAATCACTTGAAGCTTGACTAATTAAATAGGATTCTTCAAGGGGGGCCTAAGCATGTAGATTTGGATAAAACTCCCAAGGGAATTCCAGTATACATCCTTAACTAACAATAAGTGGGTCCTTTCAGCTCTAATACTCTTTGATTTTCAAGACAACAGAATTATTAAGTTTGATTAATAATATATGACTTCTAATAGTATTATTCAACAGGCATTACCTTCTCCAGAGTGGAGAAGGTGATCCTATAATAAGTTTAAATGCTGGTTAGGACTTGACACAGGGAAACATCAGAGTCTGAAAGGTAGACCACCAAGTGCCAAGGAAAGGGCTTAATGCCCAAGGGCACACAAATTAGCTCTTATTACGGTCATGATGTCTCTTTGAAGACTAAGGCACAGTGCACCTAACCCAAGCCATGGTACTTTCAATCACCTCAAATGCATGTAAGAGCTGAACAACGAATAAAGAAGACCAAAGAAAAGTGGTTATTTTTCAGTTGTGGTGCTGGTGAAGAATGCTGAAAAGTACTGGATGGCTAAAAGAACTAACAGATCTGTCCTGGAAGAAGTGCAGGCGGAATGCTCCTTGGAGGCAAGAATGGCCAGACTTCGTCTCACCTGCTTTGGTCATGTTGTCAGAAGGGACCATTCCCTAGAGAAGGATGTCATGCTTGGTAAAGTAGAGGGTCAGTGAAAAAGTAGAAAATCCTCAACAAAAAGGATTGACACAGTGGCAGCAACCATGGATTTAGGAATAGCAAGAACTGTGAGGCTGGCACAGGACCGGGCAGTGCTTTGTTCTGTGGAACATAGGGTTGCTACAAGTCGGAGCTGACTCATGGCACGTAACAGCAACAACATTGTCATGATTTTATTACACTGTAGCCAATTAACAGAGTTTTAAGTTTGTACACCACCACCAAGAACAGAGCTATTGTCGTTAAAATGAATTGGTCTCTAGCAATTACATGGAGATGAAAAGGGAAGAGACCTGGAAGTATCAGCCTCCTCCCCCCCCCCCCCCACTCACTGAAATAAGGGCCTTTAGCTGATTTCAACTGAACTTAGGCTCAACATGCTCTGCTTTTCCATGCACAGATGCAGACTTAGCATCTTTCTCCTGGTTTTATCTTTGACTCCATCAACTTATATTTGTTTCTCAAACATCACAAATGGTCACAAATGGGATTGCTTTATTACTTCTGCCTTTTTCCACTTTTTGACCTATGTCATATGGCCAGAGAAGTCTGGGTTGGAAGGGAAGTACCCATCTTGACAGAGCTAATAGAAAATAAGCTACCTCAGGCCAGGTGCTTAAGGTTCTCAGTTCTCGTGGATAAAATGAGAGTTTTAGCACCTGCCCTGCCTTTCTTACAGTGGAGTCTGGAGCACGTAATGAAGCAAGATGAAAGGCAACACTTTGAAAACAGAGTATGTGGTATTCATCTTAGATACACTTTTAAAGAAGAAGAAACGCATCTCAGAAAAAAAGACACGTCTTCTGGCTGGGGTTTTGGTTCAACAACCTTTTCCCTCCTTATTGCAACTATATCCTGGGTAATAAAACATAGCAGCAGGTAAGCAATGTCCTCAAGGATTCTGAAGAAGTTCCTCATATGACCACAATATGTCCCCATTTTGTCTGGCTCTAAACTACTTGCCTGGAAGAAAGCTGCAAATACTTGAAAGTAACAATACAGTGTTCAGAGTGATTCTGACTAAAAATCACAGCAGTTCCTATGGTACAAGGGTAGTAAATTTTTTCTCAGGCACAATGCTCAGGAAAAAAAAAACAAGTAGGAAAGCAACAAAATCATCTGTATCATTTTTCGCTAAACATTCATCACTTTTTTCCCCCCAACCCACATCTTGTTTAACAAAACAAAGTATGCTGCTTCTCTGGGGACAACTTAACTCTTGAGAATAATTATATACGTCTCAAACTTCCTAGAAGAGTGATTTTGTCGGAAAGAATCTGCACCTAGGCTGATAAGAGTAACATTAAAACCACATACACACAGTATATAGCACAATGAGGAGCTACCACCAGACCCTCAAATAACCATGTAGTTAGCAACAAGACATATTGGGCCCTTCTCTGAAAACTAGAGCCTTTGTGTTAACCGCCAGTGGATTAACGGAACCACCTATAGTTCAGTGGTGTCTGTTCACATTTCACTAAATGGAAGAGGAGCAGATCTTTGGTTTATCCAGTAACATTAACCAAATGATGCTATTTCCCATCTTTTCAATACCAAACCAAAAATTAACAAAACAAAACAACTCATGGACATCGAGTTGATTCCGGCTCACAGCTGACCCCCATTGGGTTTCTGAGGCCGTAAATTTTTATGGAAGTAGATTGCCCCATACTCCTTCCATAAAGCAACTGGTGGGTTTGAACCACTGACCTTCTGGTTAGCAGCCAAATGCCTTATCCACTATACCACCAGAGCTCCTTCAAGACAGTATCCTTAAAATGGAAAATTTTCCATTTATGGGTTTGACCTTGGAATTGAAGCCATAGCTCACCCATTCCCCAAACCTCCCAGTTGCACTTCAGTGAACGTTGATTTTCTGTTAAGATTAATTTTAGGGACAGGCTGAAGTGTTTCATCTCAGTGAGAAGACTCTGGTCCACCATGAGGGGTGTCTGTTCCCACAAAACCCCTTTTACTCTTCCAGTATACCCAGGGCCCCTCCAGCCGCCAGCCAACAGCTAAGTTGATGGAGCTGGGAACTACATTCCTTTGAAGGAGTGTGGCGACTTTTGGCTGGAATTTGATGCATTAGTTCTAAAATTAAATAAAGATCCTGTAGTGTTCTTCAAAGAAATATGGTGTGGTTCTATGACAAAACACATTTTTCAAGTTCTGACCTCTGGGAACTTCAACTAGCTCTATATTTCAGGCTGACACTGCTCACACACTACTGTCTAGTTGCCCAAGCCAGGGCTGGTTATCCATGTATTTTCCAACCTCCTGATCAGCTTTTAGCATAGGGAGGAGACCAGAGTAAATAAAGGAAGGAAAGCCACTAATTTAAAAGCACTTTCTCTCCCTAGTCCCTTGGGGAGAAGCCCTGGTAATTAACTCTAATAAGATTAAAGTAACTTGGAACTCTCCATTTATCCAGCACTGTAAATCTGTGATAACCAGTATGTGTGCATTAAATCAAAGTCAGTTCCCTTGCCTGTAATTTAATGACCCCTTTCCTTGCACCACCAGAGTCCTCTGAAGAGGGGAGAGGGAAAGATGCCGGGTGCTTACCAGCACTTTGCTCCATCACTTCTTTCTGACACATGTCTTGAACGTTCACCGTGCAATTCACAATGAACTCGGGGGAGGAGCAGTCGTTATTAAGCTGGAATTCTTCACACTGGTAACACTGGATTTGCAGCGCAAGGCCTGCGGGACAAACAGCTGGGTTCAGATTTGGCCCCCGGAAATCCCACTTCAGAAAACTGGAGCCTGCCCTGCCCCAGACAGCTGCCGCTAGGCCTCTGGAATGCCTGGGAGACGCCAGGGACTCCAAAGGGTCAGGAGGTGGCTGAAACCTCCGGCTGCGCCGGCAGAGAGGGTCCTGCGGGATAAAATGGTATCCTGACTGCTACCTTGAGACCCTTGCCCCACCAACAAAGAGCTCATCCAACACCACCCTCGACCTTTTCCCAAAAAGTCAAAAAGGAGGGGGGTGGGATACAACCCCCACTAAAGAAGCAGCTTCACAGACGTGCACCAGAGCCAGTTTACACCAGAGGATTTGCCTGACTGCTGACTAGTTACAAATTACTTAATTACTATTTTGGCACCATTCACGATTGCATTCGCAGCCGCCTTTTTAGTTTTATTTTAAAGTCAGCGTTCCTGTACGGTGGTTGCGAGGATCCCTGCGCGACCACCCGGGAACCCAGGAGGCGGCTCATGGAAGCCAAGTGCTACTGCGTCCAAGTACCCTGGTCCAGTTCGGCGGTCTTTCTCCGGGACAACTCGAGAGATAGCAAGGGCGCCTGCAGCGGGTGGGAACTGGTGTACGAGCGCGCACCCTGGGTCCCCACACACAGGTTTCAGGCAACTGGTTGGCTAGGGTCCGTAGCTGAAGTCCAGGCTCTGCAGAACTAGGTTGCGAGCTAGTCTGCTAAATGGAGAGAGTAAGCAGATCGACCTGTCATTGCGCCACCCTGGCTGCTCTGCTCTGGTGTTTGAGCTTCTGTCTGGACCTGACTCCCTGTCTTGGCCCTGGCCAAAGAGCCCTGCACAGTGCACGCCTCCCTCTAGCACCACATCTGTTGCCTTCTAAGCACAGCAGCCAAGCCCCACGCGCCCCAGGCGCTTCTCGCCTGTCGGCAGCACCACTCCCACGAGTTTCCTGCCACGCTTGACAACTTAATAAGGTTCAGGGATGGGGGTCGCACTCTCTCTTTCGCCGAGGCCCAGCACTGCTTGGACCATCCCTTCTTCCCAGCCCGGCTTTGCCTCCCTACTGCGCAGCCCCACCAGCAGCCGCTGGATTCCTGCAAATCCACTGCTTTCCTCTTGCAGCGCGGGACTTACAGACTTCCTCAATCTGGCGCCCAAGAGCCCCAGCCGCCGTCGCTGCCAAACTCCTATCCGGCAGCTCTGAGCTGCGGGGCCCCGAGAAGGGCGCCCTGGGGTCGCAGGGGCCAGCAATCCAATGCGCTGTGCGCACCTGGCCCTACTTCTAATTGCTAGGTCTTCTTACTTACCTGAAGGCAAAAACAATCCGCAAAAAGTTGCCGCGATGCAGAGGACCCACATCCTCCCGGAGCCTCGGGGCCGGGAGAGGGAAGACGCATCAGAGACGGCGACCACAGCAGTGGCTGCTCCGGCAGCAATGGCTGTGGCTGCCGAGGCTGCTGGGGGTCGCGCTGCTGCCGCCGAGGCGACGGTCGCCGCCAAGAGGAGCCGCAGGTGCCGCCGCGGGCGTCCGCATCGCCCGCTCCCGGGCTCCTGGCTGTGGGCCGCCGCTCCGCTTGCTTGCGGGGTTGTGCGCTGCGCCTTCGGAGTTGGTGACTGAGACTGAAGGGAACTACTGGAGATCCAGAGCACCCAAAAAAGTCTCGCCTCTTTTCCCACCTCCCACTCCAGGCACCACGTGACTGCTGCCGAATTCGGGTGGGGGTGGCGGGCGAGGAAGGCGGGTGGGCCGTCTCTCCACGTCCCCACCCCCTTCCTGCCGCCCTTCTCTCCCGCCCCCGCAAGTCTCTGGAAAAGGGGCGCGGGGGGAATTGGTTTAGGAGGCTAGAGCGTGAGGGAGTAGTGGGGAGGGCGTAGCAGTTGCCGCGGGGACCCGCCCGGCGCGGCCTAGGGGACCCGTGCGGTAGGAGCTGGAGACGGCGTGCGGGGCTGGACCTCAGTGCGTAGGGGCGCACCTCCAGGTTTTCTGCGACCCCTGGGTCTGGCCATCACCTACATGGTGGGGACTGGCCCACCCAGCCAGGACTACTGCGGTACAACAGGCAGCCGGAGCGGGGCGCACCGTGTGGTTGGCAGGAGCCGGAGGGTTCTCTGGCGCTGGCAAAGTTGCGCACCTGCAGGCTCCCTAGGGCTGACGTTGCAGCCACGCCTCCTCCTCCTCCGAGAAGTACCTCGGTCTTTGCCCGAATGCCGGAGGAGGTGAGTGGGATGTAGTGGGCCCGGTCGGTCGCTCTTACTCCCGGACCTTTTTCCCTCACCCTCCCCCGCCTATGCGCACAGCTCAAGGGTGCTTTCGCACCCTGGTCGCCTAGTCTAGGAGGGGGCTTTCCCGGGGACGATCTGCACAAGCTCCCAACAGAAAACAAATCGAGGTGAAGAATGAGATTCCTCTCCCCTACTTCCTCCCTCCAAAACGCCGGGCAGCTCCATCTTGCTTTCCCCAAAGTCATGGGTTCTTAGTATGTACTCCCGCGTCCTCTCCCGTACCGCGTCAGCTTATACTTGGGCGCTGGCGGCCAGGCGTTGTCTTCTGCCTTCCCCGCCATTCCTCCTCCCTTTAACCAAGTCCATGCGACCCACCTTGCCGGCTCCCGGAGACTCTGCCACATTCGCTTTTCTCGCAGGTCCTTAGAGCAGGTGGTGTTGGAACCCGCGGGCCAACCCGGTGCTCCTTAATGCCCCCGCCCCTATTCTGGCACGTTATGACGCCGTTACTTCAAAACCCCTTGGGGCCGTCCATTTCAGGGGAAATCACCTCCTTCCTGGCCACCCCTTGGAGGAAGCTTTCTCAAGCTGGGATGCTGATCGTTTATTTCCCCATCCTGTTAGCAGAGCAGGTCTGGAAATAGGTTTAAAAGACTCCCTTGTAATTCCTTTGCAGAGACCATTCCATATCTGCCTCGGGCGCCTTCGCTCGCTTTACCCTCCTCCCTCTTCCATTTCTAGTTGGTTAACCCCTTGGGGAGGCTGAAATGCCTTGACCATTACTTGCTTGTCTGCCGACTCAGAGCTTACAATTGGCTGAATTACTATCACTGGCGCAGAGGGCCAGTTTATTTACTCCTTTGGGGAATTCATCACTGATGCACGTGTGAGTCACGATACAATTAATTGACTGGGCCAAAGGGTCCTTTAACAAGTTCTTTTCAGCTGTCAGAGGGTACAAATGTGATAGAACTTTTATTCAGGTATGAAACAAAAGGCTTTTTAAAAGTCTGAGCGTCAATGAAACTACATATTTTCATTTGAGATAACAAAGTTCAAATATAACAAATTGCACAAATTAACCAAATAACACTGATCGTACAATCCTCTTCAAGAAACAAGTGTGTGCTAAAGTAACCATGTAGATCCTACAATTATTTGTTATGCCTAGTTTACAAGCTCCTGTACAAAAACAATTATAAATAGTCCACATCTAGGAAAAATACACATAACCTTTGAAATAGAATTTATCCTTACATATAAAGTCTTTGTAGAAAAAAGGATATTAAAAAGTAATTTTTTGTAGCACCATTTTATTAAAAAATAAAAAGTGAATATTGCAAGTAGGAATTTGCTTTCATTTCTAAATTGCCAAGACTTTAATAAAAAGATCAGGAAGATAAAAATCAACAATGTTTAGAAAATCACAGAGAAGCACTAAATAGAAGAGGATGTAAGGGAAGGCTTTGGAGGGAAAACCTGCTATTGGAATTAGATCACTTCTGAAACACTTTCCAATCAGCGTCACACTTCAGTACCCTTTTCATTTTTCCATAGAAGCAGAATTGCACTCATTACTAGAACCTGATCGATCGCTCTGGCAACAATTTTGAAATTGCACTAGAATCAGAATTTATATCAAATTTAGATGGTGAGATGAAAATTAGTATGATCCCTATGATTTTTCAGCAGGCCATGTGTTAGGTTTACAGAGTATACCCGCAAACAGTTGAGTTCAATGCACTTAACAAAAAACTTCATTTGGAATTATTAAAAAATATATTATCAGCTTCTAAGACTTAGTACATCATTTCAAGAGCATGGCACTGAATCGATTTATTGCTGTCATTTTTTTGTTTTTGTTTTTGCTACAAATATAATTTCTTTCCAAAAAATTTACAACTTCTGTACAAGTATTCAAAAAAAGTGCAAAATTAAGACTTCTGTATCGTACATGTGTTTACTTTTAATTCTCATGAAACACAACAAATGGAGTCCATCTTTATTGCTGTGTCAGAGAAGTAAGCTCCAGTGGGTTGCTTATTGTGAATCTGACAATGTAGGCTCTGGTGTCCTCATAGTTTATTGTTGTCCCTCCCCCACCCTCACATTTCTTAAGTGCTCCATTCCCAGTTCACTAAGGGGGAAAAAAGGTGTTTGGGGGAGGCTTTATGTATCATTTGAACCACGACTTGCACAGGAAGAGAAACTATCATATAAAGAATCACTCAAAGATTCCATATTGTCTACCCCAGGCCTATCCAAGCTACTTAAAGATGTCTCTTCATTTTTTTCATTTTTTTCTTTTTCTTCTTTTTGTCCTTCAACCTTGCTCAGAGAATTCTCTTTTTCTAATAAAATCGCAGTATTGCTGTTAAACTTATTGAATGGCTCCAGGGAAATTTTAGATAATCTATTGTCAGTATCTTCTTTTCTTTCTTCAACTTGTTTCAATTTCTGCAATAAAAATAGGAAAATATTAGAAACATATTTCTTTGGAAAATCAAGTTATCCAATATTCAATTATTGTCTGTAGAAAGTGCAGTTTAAAGGGATAGAGAGAGAACTTACAAGTATTAAACTATCTTCTAGTATAATTAAGTGTAATAATAAAGCCAATTTTAGGGATAAATCAAGACTATAATCATTTTAGTAAGACAAATAGGTCCCAATTTGCAAATCAGTTAAGTGCTACTTAATTTCATTTTAAATGGATCCATTTGAAATTTGTTCAGGTAAAGTGCCTTATTTTTCTAAAAGTTTCAAACTCCTCCTTTTCTTTACTAAGTATTCATTGTACTTTTTCTAAATACAGATAGGGGTTGAATTTCCGCCAGAAGTTAGGGTTCTGTGGAAAAAAGACATAACATCTCTTTAATTGCCGTAAAATTTAAATGCATGTTAAAGTCAGAAGCATTGTCAAGGTTTCCATTTTGTCCCTTTGTTGGACTTAAGATGTTTGAAAGCAATCTTAAGATCTAGGGAGTGTAGCTTCCTAAAGGTCCAAGAGCTTCAAACACAAAGTAACAGGTCTGTATTTTAGTAACTCCTCTTCCTGAAGGATTGCTAGTGGGCAGTGGTTAAAAGTGTTTGCTGACTGAAAGTCTGCAGTTCAAATCCAGCTGCTACTCTTTGGGAGAAAGATGAGGCAGTTGGCTTCAGTAAAGATTTACAGCCTTGGAAACCCTATAGGCAGTTCTACTCTGTCCTTCAGAGTTGCTATGTTGGAATGCACTTGATGCAGTGGGTTTTGGGTTTGGTCCCTCGAGGAGGTTCTTGTAATATCAGTTTAAACAAAGGTATTTATAGGATGTTGTTGGTACTCTCTAGGACTTTATAAAATACTGCAGCCATATTTAATAACTTTTGTAAGTAAACCCTATAAACATTAATATATTTATTTGTTCAGCTGGCTCCTAAGACTCAGTTCTGGGAAGAAGAGGGAGATCGGCAGATGCAAAAAGCAATGGAAGTATGGAGGTGTTAAAGTCACTAAGATATTTCTCACATTATTCCTCTTTATGTAAAAAATTCCACTGAACACAAGGGTCAAGTCAAGAGACTGAGAGTTGACAATAATAGACACCATTTATTAAGCATTCACTATGTAAAAGACACAACATATTTTATCTATAACCCTCTTCACAAACCTGTAAGTCACACATTCTCATTTTAAAGATGAGGGAAGCAAGTCTCAGAGTGACAGTGACTTGCACAAGGTTGTTCAGCAAGTGACAGAAAACAAGATTTTAATTTCTGACTGTCTTCCATACCCTTGTTCTTTCCACTAAATCATGCATTTATGTAATAGAGGACAAGGTGTCCTGTATGTTTTTGTTGTTGTTGTTTCCATTCTGTCACCTAATCATTCCATTTAAATAACTTGCTAAACTAGCTCTACTGCTACTTCCCAAGGCTCTATCATATGCAGACCCATCTCCCATCATTATGATGGATGTACAAAGGTGCAATGAGGAAACCAGGTTTTGATCAGGGGGAAAAGACACAGCTTATGAATCCATAGCCTATGGATTCTCACATGCTAAATATTTAATAGAAATTAAATAAATAAAATAAAATAAATAAATAAATAGATAAATAGAAAGAGAAGAGAGATGGGAGTGGATGGTTCAGTTCACCAGGAGCAGGCTTAGGCAGAGTTTCTCTCTCTGCTATGGTAAATGGCATAATTCTATGGGAACATTTGAAAATTGTCCTTAAACCAATGCTTATTTCATTATACTATTAATGTACAAGATCGCCAATTTTCAATCTCAAATGGCTACCTTGAAACCAGAGGCCCGGTGAAGAACAGATTACTAGCGTCTTATAGAAAAATGGCTCCATAATTAGGAAGAAGTTCATGCAAGGGCCTC